TAGGGAAAGGAGAGTAATTCAAGTTCTTCAGCAGTCAGTGATATCTGAACATTGATTCAGTCAAGACCAAAATTTCCACAATACAGCTTAAAGCTCTTAAATATTCCTACTTTATTATCATATTTCATATATATACATTCTTAGATACTGCAGCATCCCAATTAAAAGGCTGACTTTATCAGCTTCTGGTAGGAGACAGAATTATAATGCCAAAAGCAGCCTTGAATTACCCTAGATCAGCCACTAGTAGTAGAACAGAAATTCCTGGCTCAGTGCAAGAAGCTCCCTTCTGAAATGAAGGTTTTGATCACCAATAGCACTATGCTGATGTTACTGTACTGCCGTGGAGTGTCCTCATTTTGTCTGCTGGACCACACATGCAATCTCCATACTGGAAAATATTTTGATCGACTGTTCTTTACTTCAGTATAAATTCATTGGTTTTGTCAATCCTAAGAAACTTTCCACTGTATTGTGTTTAATTTTCCCTGTACAGCTCTAGTAATATTTAGTAAACATCTAGTAAATTTAGTGTATCTAAACTCACACCATTCCAGAATGCCCCATTTTCTTAGACTGTAGTAGTAAAATGTCTAAGTTGAATCTTCATTTTCTGTCTTGCTATAGCTGCATAACAAATGTGCTTCACATCTAAAACCTGAATGTGACTGTGGACCTTTGAAGGACCATATTTTACCACCCACATCCATCTGCCCAGTAGTATTGGTGAGTTGTCCATGTATTTATTTCAGATATGATCCTCTCTCATAGATAACTGCTAAAACAGTGCTGGTGCTGACTGCCAGAGTATTTGCTAAATTCCCAAAACTGTGTGAACCTTAAACACAATGGGTAATCCTTACTGATGAGTTTATAGGTTCAAGTGTGCTTTATCCTCTGCATATTGCATTTTCCTTCATGTGAGAATGAACTTTCTGCAGGGCGTATTATAACTGAAGCTGACTCAGGTTTTATCACTTACTCAGACTGTATTTACCAGAAACTGTATAGGCAGAACACTTCTACATTTTATAGATCCAACTTCCCAGAATAATGAAGTTATTCTTATGGACAGTTTTTGCTTGGGATGCATATTGTATATCTGCAATGCTGAGGTCTCTGATCTAAGCCGGAGGTTACCTAGAATGATGACACTGGTCTTGCAGTAAGCTATGCATCAACATTATGGTATATTTTATTCTGCAGTAGTGGACAGTAAATTTCTCTATCCACAAAAACAATAACTCAATTCAATGAAAAGAAAAATGCAAGCTATGTGTAGGTTGTATAGAAAAGAGCTGAGCAGTTTATCATTAAAAAAGAGCTTTGGAATTAACTTATGAATTCATATATTAAATTAGATATTTTGTGCTGATGAAAGTCATAGCATCATCATACTCGCAACAAAACAGACATGTGGTCCTTTTACTCTAAATTTATTTCATAATAATAGGAAGAAGTTCTTGAATTTAAGAAGGAGGGATTTTTTGGTAGGGATGTAAAAATAAGACACTATGCCTTCTAATCTTAAACCTATTTCTAATCATTAAGAATAATATTCATACCTGTTGTAAATGACTTGTTTCCTGATAATCCTTTCAGCTGTGTGGTAAATCTGCTAAGGGATGCATGCTAGATTTCGACCGTCTACTTGAGTAGACTGGGACTATTCCATTGCTTTTAATGAAAGTAAAGCAACGGAAAGCTGGCTCTAATATTTATAAAATATTTTTTAGTATTTATGAAAAGTCCTGAGTAGTTTTGTAGTTTGTCTGTAATAGTATTTTTATATTGCCTGGACATGTTCTGAATAATAATTCTAAATTGTTATTGTAAGCTTGTTGGATGATTACATTCTGCTGTAGATTATTTGATTTTCAGAAATTTAGGTCATACTTTAAAATTTAACGTATAAATTACTATTTTGTTACAGGGCCATTTCTGTTTTATTGTTATTTATTGTTTATAATTCTTATGAACTGAATAAAGCCTCAGCATGAAATTTCATCTTCAATTATATTTGTGTAACTCCATTTTCTTTTCAGGAGAGGAAGAGGTATAGAGGAATTACGGTTTTCATTCCATGACTGGAGTTTAGTTAAGTTGTTTAGAGGATATATAAAACTACTCTAGAGTCAAATCACCCTTGAATAGGTTTGTTTTATCTGCAAATTTTGAAGGCATAAGCAGAAGTAAATACGTTTTCCTGTATCAGAATCATGTTTCAATATTACATACTAATAATGTAACATGAAACATGTTTTTCAGCACAGTGCATATTGTTAGGAATGGAAAATATGTTTTACTGTTACTTAATGGGAACTTCATAATTTTGTAGTATATATATTCATCTAGTAATTTTTTCCAAAAATGCATTAAAATCCTGTATATACTTACAAATACTATATCAGTGTTCTAGCTAATAGGAATTCCTCCTAGGAATGATTGATTACAGTGTACGTATTAGTGATTTTTAAATTAGTTTCTCCCATTTCCTGTTATGGGGATTCCTTTTAAGGAATGTAGTGCTTCATTGTATGTAATGCCAGGACTCTCAATAATGACAGCAAAATCAGGGAATATATCCATGTCAAAATTTTCTAAGGATTAAATACTAAGTGTATCTGTTCATAGAAATTATATGTTCAGACATATCAAATGGAAGAGTCTTCCACCTAGGACACTCGTTTAGCTTCAGTAATCAGCTGAGCAATCATATTCTTGCAATGCTACATATCTGAAAAGCAAAGGAAAGCAGATAAATGTTTTGCACCATGCTTTTTGTAGCAGGTATTTTTAGTATTTGGGTATTTTGAGGTATCAGAGAAGAACGTTATGTCTGTGTCCCGTAGAATAACTTGTAGGAGTTGTGGGAAAATAGGAAGAGGAAAAATCTTGTATCTTTGATCTCCTAAATATTTTGGCCCTCCCTTCCATATTAACTTTGAAAGTCCAGACTTCTTCCTTAAAACTGTCAATCTCAGGCCAATATGCTTTCTCGTAAGTTTTCTTCTAAGAGTACAGGTTAAATTCTTATATTTTCTCTTTTGTGGAGCAAAGGAGCTTCATATTTTTACCTTTCTCATCCAGCATGTCTCATTTCTTCAGTTCTTGTGAAGTCCAACCTCAGCTCTTTCTGCAGAGATGAAAATAATTTTTTTTTAGAAATTGCATTTCACCAGAACCATGGACTATACTGGAGCTACCACTGGTCTCTCACTTGCAAGTTACTGTTCAGGTCCACATCCTCTCAGTTTTTCCATTTCCTAGGTATCCATCAATATCCAAAATCACTGCTGTGGCTGTGTAGAATAAATTTTTAAAACCTACCTTTCCTGATTGTAATATCACAGAAGGTGATAGCTCATTCTCTCCTAAACCTCAGCTCAAGTGACTGTTCTAAATTACTCATTTAGGGTCTCTTTAGACACAAGAGAGATGCCTCTAAAATAGCATGACCCTCTTTTGCTGTCCTTTCTCTAAATGGCTGGAGAGAGAACCTAAATGCCTGGTAATCTGAAAGTTAGCTGCCCTAAGTCAAATAAGAGGACTCACATCTTCAAAACTGCACAAAGTGGATCTTGTCAGATGTTATTCCTAAATATTATAAGCAACATTCTCAGGTGAAAAAGAAACCACGGGGAAAGTCACATGGATGGCTGGATTCAATGCCTTACTAAGATTTTTCATATCTCACTGCAATACCTTTAAATGTTTTAGTAAAATGTAGTCTGTCAATTTTAAAAATAGTCCTTTTAATTTTCTGCTTACTGTATGGAAGACTTGTTGTACAGTGAATTTTTTTGTTCAAGTTAAATGAGTTTTGTTATAAACTGTGTGTGCAGATCTCAAGTGATAGCCTTTTAATAGATGTCAGATACACTTTAATGTTACTCTCTTTTATTTCAGTAACGTTTTAATTAATTCATACTGATTGAATAAATGTACATTGAGACTTGTTTCCTAATGAGGGCACATTTAGAGGAAAGGTTTTGCATCATTCTGATATCCTGTGGGTAATTATATTCTAATTATATGTTGGGGGGAAAAAGTCTATAACTCAGTGCTGATATTGTTCATTGGACTCAATTAATTACATGCACATAATGAAAGTTCATGATAAGGTTGACTGGCAGTGAGTTTAAAAATCTTTAACTCAATTGAATCCTAGCCTACCAAGAGTACAGAATTAGATCATAACCAGGTTAAAACCTGGGTATTGGAATGAGATGAGTGAGTAGTGAGGAAAAAAGATTGATTTCTTCTTATGATACAGCTTCTCTGCCCCCACTGCTTTATAAAACAGAAAGGGAAAAATGCTAACATACATTTTGGCTTCTTCATTTCATGCCAGCCTTTACTTTGCTCTGTTCATTGATGAACACATAGGATGTTCTAATTCATATTTATGTTTGTTGTAGAATAATTAGGTTTTTCTGTTTCCCATCAAAATGGATATAGTCTTGGGTAAAGCCAAACTAACCAGTAAAAGCCTACTATTTAATAAATACCTATTTATTTCATAAGGTATGACAATTTTGATTCTCCTATTGTTTATTGAATTTTACAGTATTTTTTTTTTAACTTAGTTTCTAACATTGGTTTTAAAAACTATAATTAAAACTGTTTGTTTTACAATGCATTCCATAATTTTTTTATTCTACAACTAAGTACCTTGATTAGAGTGTGAGTGCTAATATATGGCACTTAAAACAATCTCTATAGTAATCAGTTTATTCAACAGGGGAAGGTCTGGTGTAGTATTGAAGGTAAGAAGTTAAATAATTAAAATTTAAAATTGTATGTGTTTCCTTGTATCTGATTTTCAGCTTTATTGTTCAGCATTCTGGTCATCATGATAAAAAGTTTGGAGTAACTGACATTTATTTCTTTTCTCTTATGAATGAAGTTGTCTGTTGTGTAGTGTAGATGCTTATTAACTTTTTAGGACAAAATGATTTAAACATAAATTCTATTTATATAAATATAGAATATAAATGTAAAATTGTATACATCAGAGAATAAATATGTTTTTATATATGTAATATAAAATACCATTATAAGTCAAATTCACTCAAGATTTTATTTTGAAATTTAAACAGCTATATGTTTTAGAGGAGGGAGCAGATGTATCTGATTGGGGTCAGATTTAATCGTAGAATGCTAGGTTGTAATGGGCCTCATGTATCACCTGGTCCAACCTTTGGGTTGGTTTGGCCTTTTATTGTACAAGAACAGAAATGCTCATATATAATTTGTTTAGAAGTAGTTCTAGTTAGACACTTAGTACACACAGCAGATTACAAATATTTTAGGTAAGCAACATGCCCTGTGCAGCTGAACAATATACATTATGATCTGTAGCTTCAAACTTTTGTGTAAATCTAGCAAATGTGTTGAGATGCTAGCAAAAAATAATACATAACTGAAATGAAAGTATTGTACAGGAATTTTGACTATCAGTATTTAGAGAGACTAGATAGGATAGCTAATAAGTGTGTTATAATTGCAACAGTTAAATAGATGTTTTCCAATGTCTGATAATGTTTTACTAATGCTGTTTTCCTGTGAGGTGGGTAAGTGTTGCTCACATAGGAAAGCAGAGACGTAGAGAGAGAAAAAAAGGGAATTAGCATCTGCTGAGCTTTCTTAATCCTTTTTTTCCGGTTTTTAAGCCTAAAATTATTCTTCTGTTTTTGTTATAGTAGAGATCAGTTTTAATTCAGTTGAATTCAAGTTCAACACGAAGCACAGGAAATCAGTGCAGTGTGTAAGCATCTTTATGAGCAACTCAATCCTTTGAAGTTGAGTATTAGCTTTATTCTCAGTTTCTGAAGAGAGATACTACCAAAAAAAACCTGGTTATTAGAATACATATACTTCAGTTGGGGTAGAATTTAAATCTGGTTGTTTAATATTAGGTAATGATATAGCAATTGAAACATTTAAAAAACATAACAAAACACTTTTTATCCTATTCAGTTATGTATCATGTTGCAGATTCAGTTCTCTGAGAATCTAAAAGAGACCTGAAGTATAATGGTGTGCTTATCTACACTAAGAGCTTTTTCATTTCTTTGAAGTCAGAAGGAAATTAATAATTGCCCGGGAGGAAAATGTATCTTCCTAACTAATTAGCTGTTCAGCAAACACAGTTCAATGTTAAAATAATAAGATGCTGATAAACTGTAATGGCAGCTATTCAATCATTTTAAGTTATCTCTAGTTGCCTGCCCACAACTCATCACTACTGTCTGTCCCTAAGTTTACTCCTTAGATCCTCTCCCATTGGAGTTTAACATGTTTTAATTTTCAAAATTCTTTTCCAACTCTTTTGCCTTTCTTGAACAATGTGGATAAATGCCTGCTATAGCCCACTTTCATTTTAGGTTGCAAATTACATTAGAAGTCTTGGGCCCTAGAGTTGGTGCATATTGAGGCATATATTGAATGGGTGCAAAGTATAAGGCAAGTTATCTTCAGCCAACTAAATGAACCAAGGCTGACATGCTAAATGAGAAATACTTGGTTGTGATTTTGGTGTGTGATTTTTTACATCTTTATTAAGACTTATTGAAGAATAAACACAAAATACATACATAAACTTACCATGTAGCAATTTCTTGTTCAGCACAGTCTTGCAATTTTGGAAGTTATTCTCAAATGAAATAGTCTCCATTCCAGCCTTCTCTTTTTCCAGGTATTTTGTCTCCTGGTATTACGAGTGACAAAATACCTCCTTCTGATTGACATAATGTGATTTCTTTTTGTTTTAGCTGCAAATGTTTCTATCATGACAGCTGTTAGATGAATTAGAAGCCTTCACTTTCATTTATAGTATGGACTTGTACAACTCACTATTTTTGCTAGTGAATCAGTCACTAATCTTGTCCACAGGATGACTTTTAGCTTCAGCCCGTGGATGTAGAGCTGGATGTTGTGCTACAGCTCTAGAAGCTTTGAAGAAGGCATGGTGTACTGTTCTAATATTGGCCCTTCTGATTATGTGCACAGGGTTAGATCTAGAAATGTGGAAAAAATTATACAGTAAGTTTTCAAGACATTTTAGCATAGCTAAATCCTAGTGAGTTGAATGTGATATGTGTTAGATGTCACAAGCAGATTGCTTCCCCGGCTTTTGGAGTAGTGGTGGTAGAGTTTTATCTGTTCCCAGGATATCTGAATCTTTGATTTTTGTTGATTGTTGTGCAACTATGGATATAAATTGCACAGAATGGAATTTTTGTAAGCAAGGGCTTGAATACCACATAGGTTTACAAAATGACATGAGTCAATGATAGGAGTACCTATTCTAACGCTGAATTGCATATTATAGTTTTTGCGTCCCCTGGAGATTCCCGTGTCTTTAAACAAAATAGCTTCAAGGAATTGTGGAGCAACCTTCCTCCAAATTCCTGAAAAAAAAAGTGTCAGTTAGGTATTCAAGTCACATATTTAAACTTCCATGGCCTTCATCCTGTGAAGACTTAAAGATACCTTTAGGAGGTATTTTGTGCATTCCATCTCATCTTCTGTAACCAGATTCTCCTGATGACTATCTTTTAAGTTCAAGTTTCTGAGTTCTAAAATAAGATTATATTTTTAAATAACTTTTTCAGTTTATGCATATTAACATAGAATTTTATTTTCTTCTTATGTGCCCCATTCACCAGCTGGCTTTAGGGTATATACCTCATTTGAAAGCATATTGTATAAAAGAAGTCGTTCTCATACAGAAATAATCTCAGGTTTTCAGTACTTACTTAACTAGTTGTGTAATGGTATTAGCCATTCACTAATGGCTTTAAAATCTTATTTAATTTCTAAATAAATTATTATTTAATGGACTAAATAAATTGTTTTAAATAATCTCAGATATGTATGAAATAATGCAGAAAATGTATTTGCACTTTGCTTAAAAGAAAAGGTGAAGGGAAAAACCACAATTTTTGTTGCATTGGCACTGGATTCTGTCAGCAGTTAAAATGTAAAGAGGTAACTATTTAGTAAGCCATAAATTACTATACATCTGTGATATTTTAATATTTTGTGTAAAGGAAAATGCTCTATCTCTGTATGAAGAAGGAAAAGTAGTACTTTCTGGGGTGAGGGTTGTATAGCTTGTCACTTTGGATGAGGACTCAAAGACTTGCTGTCTCGGGCCAGTACCGGGGGCTAGCAGCTGTCAGGATATTTCCGCGACTTCCCCGCCCAATGTGGAGAGGTTTGTGAATGAGCCCGAGGGTCACACGTGGCGTTCGCCTCTCACGGAGGAACGGCCACTGCAGGACCATATCTTAGAGGGTAGATTAGAGTACCCTCTCACCACGCTCACAACTTGTTACTGAGACCAATGTTTAGTTTACGAATTAATCGGTTTATTATGGGTTAACGCAAACTAAGGGATCAAGGTTCAGGAGAGGTTGGCTAGGTGTATATCAGAAAAGGGATTCAAAGGTGCTATGGTCTTATGAAAGGCACACTCTGAGGGAGAGGTGTAAAATGAAAGGAGTAAAAGGGTAGGAGTTGAGCCCGGCTCCTACTTTGGTCCGGTTTGATTTAGGCTGGGCAGTCATGGTCCCCGGGGAGTGGACACAGGCGGCCTCCCTTTTCCGCTTCTCCGGGCAGCGGGCACGGGGCAGCACCCCCTTCCCTCTCGGCTCCTCCGGACAGCGGGGCTGGCGTTCCAGGCAGGTTCAGGTACTGCAGCAGGGTCTTGTCCCAGGCAGGCAGAGAGCAGTGGCCTGCCGATCTTGCCCTTTTTTTATAGATCAGAGATCACTGTTCGAGAAAGTACGACTGTCCAAATTAGCCAATTAGCACTGGCCAGGTACGTGCTCTGTCAGAGGCATCTTTAACCTATTGTCTATTTTTCTGCCAGTTATCGTAACCCTTATGCTGTTTTCTTGATGTGGACTTACCTAGTAGAGCAAGAGGGGCTGTTCCAGTCCGTCCTTGGCTTAATCAATAAAAAGACGCTACTCTTGCTTTGCTGGCTTGAAAGGCATTTTGTTTAGTCTTATGTGGGGGAGAGAAGATGGACCGTTCCCCACACTTGCAAAATATAAAAAAATATATATTCTCCAGGTACCAAGTATCTCTTTTACTGTCCAAAATAATATGTACCCTTTAGGTTTTCTAATATTTTTATCTGGTGATAAAATGATCCCACGCATCCTTCCAGAGTATGCAAATATATAGAAAAAAAAAGAAAGTGCCAGGTAAGTTTTAAGTGCAACTGCTGCAACGTAAGGTTCCTCAGGAGCGCTCCCTCCATGCCCCTTGCTGTCCCAGCTGTTTGGTGTTGCAGCCTAATGTTCTCTTTTTCCAACAGACGCTACCCACTTCAGGAGGTTTGCTCCCTGAGGTGCGTAATGGGAGGCATCTGTGTACACACGAGTACTAATGAGTCATGATATTGTACATTCTGCTTGCTATGAAAGTGCATTTTGGGGCTGGACTAAAACATGGTATTCTGTGTTGTTGTTTGAAAGGCCTTGTCTTATTTACAATTTCTTTTTTTCTTATTTGGATGAGTAAGTGATAGATACAATTGAATAGTTCTCAGACAGTGAGTGCTCTCTGGAGCAATATTGAGGGTAGAAGCTCCAGCTAAGGGATATTGACTTCAAAGTTGGAGCTCAAGGGGAGAAAAAAAGTCATAGAGGTCCAAAAGTGGGTCGAAAAATTTTTGTTGTGTTAAGTACTATTTTGAAAGTATGTGTTCTGGCATATACCAAAAGAACAGACAAGTTTGATTCTTCGAGCCATCAAAATGTACAATAGCTTTTAAAATGCTATATTCAGTATATTCAGTTTCTCTGTCAACGTCATGCATGTCCACTAAACAAAATGTTTCACTGTCACATTTATCATTTTGTATGCTTTAATTAATAAGATACACAACTGTTGTAGATGCATTTCTTCCTTTGAAAAATAAATTTTTGCACTTTGTAAAACCATTTCTTCAATGCGTGTCAAAATTGTCTTAACATTGCTAGAATTTGTAGGCTGATATCCACAGGTGATTCTATTAAACTGTTATTGTCTCATAAACATGACACTGTTTAGTTTCTGACACTTGTGGACGACTTTGTAATGTTACAGTTCCTGAAAGACAGTCGTGTACAACTGGATTAGAAAGCCAGCTTTCTATTTAATACACAAAACAAACTATCTGTGCAATAATATTTAAGAGATATTTTCAACAAATAGTACATCCTTTTGTGTTCCACTAATAGATTTATTCAGTAGAATTAAGATGCTTATTATTATATTATTTCATGCAAACTGTAAATCAGGTCTTCACTTATATGGCACATACCTAAAAATTCTAACATATGTAATTCTAGAAAATCTAAAAACTCTTAAAAGGCGTCTTTAGAAATGTTTCACAGAAAATGGTTGGTACGTGCGGTAACATACATTGATATTGCATTCATATAAGATGGGTGATACAAAACACATTTTTATACTTCTATAAATATATATATTCTGTGAAATTAATATAGGGTTTTTTCCTTTATATTTTGTGAGGTGTATGGCCTAATCTTGCATAGTCACTGCATGGACAAAGCTGTGGTCTTTGTGAATCAAGCAATTGTTTTGTTTATGGGTCAGGTATTAGAATTTTTTTTTGGAGGAATGTTGCTGATGCAGCAGTCATAAGAGCCAGGGCCAGCTGTGGGTATTTGCTGCTGTCTATAGCATCCTGGAAAAAAAACAAAAAACCAACAATATCCAAAACATTGCTTGAGGTAATTGTTACTGCATTTAGCTGGTGAATGATTGATAACAGCAGGATTGGGCACTGTGATAAGCATCATTTATATAAAGAGAGTTCTCAGCAGTATATGACTACTTTTCCTCTAAGTAATAGCATAAAACATGTAAGAAGATTTTTAGTGCCACATTTTATAAGTATGCCTCCTTTGAACAGTGTTCTGCTAACCTCTCTAAATGCATACACTCGGTGTGCTGAATCAGTTCCCTTATTTTGCCTTTTGCTTTGAACTATCAGAAATATATTGTTTAATGTAACATTTTTCTAGACTTAAAAATTAGCTCTCCATCTCATAAAACTGGCCTTGGCCCATCGATCCAGCCTGTCCAGATCACTGTGGAGCTTTCCTATCCTCAGGCAGATCAACACTCCCACCCAACTTGGAGCCACGGGCAAACTGCAGATGAACACCATTATGGACAGTGCCTGTCTGTGTTTGAATGTTCGGGCTGAGATGAAGAGCTCTAATTGCTTTTACTGTTTTCTGTTTAAAGCAAGGATATAGTAGTCTAGACTATTGAACCTCCTTTTGAACTGGTCAGTTTACTCAAAGCATACCAGAGCTCAATTACCTAATCTTTTGGGAATCTCACTGCAGACAGGAAACAGTGTAGACTACCTTGTTGGGTGTTTTGTTGGGGTTTCTTTGGTTTGTTTATTTGAGGTTTTTTGTTTGCTTTTTTGTTTTGGGGTTTTTTTTGTGTGTTTTTGTTTTGTTTTATGGGTTTTTCTTTTGGTTGGTGCTGGTTTTTTGTTTGATTGGTTTTTTTGTTGTTTGGTTTTTTGTTTTATTTGTTTGGTTGTTTTGGGGGGGTTTTCTGCATAGGTTTATCAGTCCTTTTACAAGAAATGTGATCAGATTGTCACAGTTCCCCAAAACACTTGCTACACAAGGCAGCCTGGGATGATTTGGACCCCTATTTGCATCAGGACTGGACTGAGACTTCATCAGTCTTCAAATTTAAGGAAACTGAAGATGGTATAAAAAAACAGTGATGGTCCACATCTGTGTTAGAAGGCAATGGGTTAAGATGTGTTACTCCCTTCCTGCCAGAGAATCTGTGTCAATGTTTCTTACCAGTTTAAACTTCTCCAGAAAGAGTGGCATGAATTAATTGCTATTACAGGCCCTCTAGGCTTTATCAGAGGTAGCAGAGAGATGGGTTTGGCCTGGTAACCTGGTAGCATTTAATGAACAGCTTACTGCATGCACTTGCAGGGAGGTGGAACGGTGTCCTTCATACTGCTTTCTAGTGCAGCAGCTTTGTGCCAGCACATTCCCCTGACTAGTTTAAAGCCTCCTTCCACTCGTGAAGTGATGAAAGTGACTGGGGTGCAATTGGGACTAGGGACACTGATTTTATTTGATAAACATCTGCTGTCTTAATTTGTGGTGCTTTTTTGGACAACCTAGAAGGACCTGCTGAGCGCAGTTTATAAATAGGAGTAATGAGATACAAAGAGCAAGGACATTTTTCATTCCAAGTTCTCTGAAGTGACTTGACAACAGTTAAAAATATGATTACAGCAACATACTTCTGAGCTTTCCTCTTTCAAGTAACCATCTGTTTGTGCTGTGTATCAGCATCAACAGTTTCCAATGGCTTAGAATCTGATGTGGATTCTGGTTTCTTTCTGATGCAAAATACATATTTTATAAAAGGCCACTCAGCCAATTGATTATGGTACATTTAGGACAGGTATATTTTGCCAAAGTGGTAAAGTACTGTTGAAGCATCCAACCTTTGCTAGCAGTTAGCAAGAAATTTTGACAAATTACTGGTCTCTTATCAATGTTCTTATTACACAGTCAAGTATATTGTATGCTTGGCTTTCAACTTTCAGAATGCCATCCTGGCAATGTCAGATTATCTTTTCACATCATTGCATCAATTTGTGTTGTGACTGCACACTTTTCATCCATCTATTGCCTAGTCAGTATGGAATGTCCAGGCACATAGATAGATGTTATGTGAAGTGGCCAGACATTGTGTAATAACTTGACTGAGATCTCATTTTCATTAAAGCAGAATCTGACATTGCCGTCTAGTCAAAAAACAGCTCTGAGGAGGCACTATCTCAGTTACAGTTGTATAGCATTAGATAATGTGGTAAAATATTCAGTTTTCTCCTTTTCTTTTTTCAAGGAAAGACAGGCAACAGTGAAAAAAGAAAAGAGTTGCCCCCAGCAAATGAACAAACTGGGAGAACGGAATAAAATGCAAAGAGCAAATTCTGTCACCGTAGATGGACAAGGCCTTCAGGTGTGATTATTTTTATTTTAATTTTAAGGAGATACATGTAGGTATGAAGACAATGATTGAGTGAACAGTCCTTAAAGTGATATATTTCCTACACGGTCACTTTTCTACTATTTTACTTGTACATATTTAAAAATACATGAATTCTTTCATCTGTACAGGAATTCAGTGGTGCAGATCTGCTTCACGGGTGATTGGTAGGACTTCCTAAGGTATTACAGACAAAGGAAAACTAGTTATAAAACACTAGTAATGCAGAATTGAAACAGAACTCGGTTGTTTTAGTATCTGTTTTGCAGCATTGTGTGAATTTACATTATAAATCTGAGTTTGTCTTGATAACTGTTCACTCTTCTCACTTGGACCTGTTACTGAATAGATGGATGGAGCAGACTTCAAGGATGTTATTTATCCAGGTATTTCCAAGTAGTGTATTTGGCACATGAAAATTAAAGAGAGAATCAAGGTGGTTTCAGTAATGGAAGTTTTTTGCTGCTTGCAAGAAAAATATTTTGAGTGTCATGACTTAATGTTATTTTAGACAGGTTACCTAGAGGCATGCCAGAAGTTCTGCCTGAACTTTCCCTTGAGATATGAATAGTTTTTATTGAAATCAATGTTCACATATATGATGCTGCTGCTTTATTTCCTCAGGACTTAACTGATCATCGTGATAATGTGATAATCATTTAATATACAGAGCTGACTGTTCTCTGTATCTTTTAATGTGTTGCCATTGAGGTTCAGAAAAATGTAAAAGATTTTACATTACCCTGTAATGTAGTTTTGCATTACTCTGTATCAAATACTATATACCTCATAAATATTTTATTATATACCTAATTGTGTCAGGATAGAAAGGTTTATTTTATTGTTTCATCTTTATAGGTTAGGGAAACATTCATGTTATGACAACACAAAAGGCTGGAGTGGTCATTGACAGAAAGTTCAAGTCCTGTCTAAACAGTCACTGTGTGACTAATAAACTGGTGCTAAAGGAAGCACATGTGAGTTATCTAACTTTGAGATGATAATGGTGCCATTTCAGTGAGCCTGACTGCTCTAGAGGAGCATATTTGACATCTTTCTGTAGCAGCACCATGTGTCATGAATTTTTGTTTTACTCCAAGCATTAGATTGCTTATGCTCATAGTATAGTAAGATTTTTAGTATGATCCAGAAGTTACATTCTGTCTTCTCTTTCCGTCGTGAATCCAAAGCCTAAGGTTCATCATTGCTTTAGTTTATTGTCACTTAAGGAGAAGAGAAAGAAAGAGCGGGGACTAAGATGATGGAATAATTATTGGATGGATTTGGTGTGTTTTCTAAAGTACTTGTTATTGTTCTGTAATGCCAGATCTATCATGTACTGCACAATGCAATACTAGTAATCTTAGTGATAACATGAGAAATAATGCTGCAGTGATGACCGTAATTTGATTATTTGAAGTCTTTGTTTTTCTCTGTTGGGTAAAATTTGATTCAAGTAAGAGGAACCCATGTTAGCACCAACTATTACTTTTTTATTTGGCTGGTATCAATAATGATAACCTGATCATTGTGAAGGCTGAGTGGATCTTGAAGGATACTGGGAACAGTAGAGATTATTAAAGTGTTTTTTTTTTTCCACTTACAGATCTTATAGTTTTGGAACTATTTCAACAAAAATGTAAGATTCTGTAAATAGAACTGTTAATTAATGTTACTATTTTGCCTAAAGATGGTCTGGAGCAAAACATATATGTAGCTGGTAAAAGTATACTACTCTTAATTCTCCCGTGTCTGGCCAAAGCATGCTAGTCTGATTCTAATAATCTGATTTTACTGGCATGGTCTCATTTAAACATGATCTTAAGTGAGGAAAGAAAAAAAAAAAAGTGACTTTTTGGGGACCTTTTTTATTCAGAAACATGTTTGCTATGTGAATTGCAGTTGTCAATGATTTAAGTTGTCAAGGTAGCATATCAAAGAAATCCATCAAATCCTCATGCTAGACCTTTGTTTTCAATATGGGAGAAGTCTAGTTGGTTCACCACTTTATCTTAGCTCATTTTTTTTACCTTTTTTTTAAAAAAAAACAAACCAACAAAACAAACACACAAACCCTTTAAGTCACTGCCTCTAAGTCATGCAGATTAAGGTTTGAAAATGTTCACCACTATAGTGTAAATCTTTAGTTGCATTGTTTATTATATGGAAAGATCTATGTTTTCTAGAGAAGTGTTTTGGAAAAACTTTAAGAAATTAATTAAGAGACTTTATTTTGGAAATACAGTGGAATACAGACTGGTTAAAACACTTTTTTTTTGGTCCTAAACCTTCAACTTGTAATAATATGGTTAAGTTTTGAAATAAAAGATTTAAAATAGAAGTAAGTTCATAGTTTATTTTTTCTTGAGAAAAATATCAAGAGCAAACCTTTCTTTCATCAGGCAGCAGTGAGCAGATAACTTAGTGGCAGTGGAGATCTGCACAACTTAAAGACAATTAATCATAGTTAAGCACATTCATCTTACTGCTTTCTAGCTAACCAGCATAATGATCAGGATTATTATTTCTAATTAGAGGAAGTAATAGATCATGTATAACCTTAGGATTAGTCTCATTAATTAACTTGCGTCCTAAGGGATTTCAGTCGGTAGTCCATCTCTGTCACAATGAGCACCATTGGTTTACACTTAGTTCACAGGAACAAACATCATGGGAATTGGCTAAATAACTAGAATTGATTAAAACAGTAGATAAAAATTAAATATATGACAAACTTCATTACACTGTGCAATTTGATGTATGTTTCAACATATAGCACATTAGTGTAACAACATACTGTGCTATAATGTGATACTGGGTTGTTTTTGTGCTAGGTTTTGTTCCACCAAGTTTACCGGAGTTTTTAATTATTTTTTGTATATATTAGAACAGATTTGGATCTATTCTTTGTGAAGTTATGGATGGAGTTGACACACTAGCGCTTAACACTTCGTTCTAGAAGAAAAGTACTTTCAGATGCCTGTAGGATTATATTCCTATGCCTATAGGATGCCTATAAAAATCCTTAGCTATCATGTTTTTCCAGTTCTGCCTTAAATTACTTTTTATTAAATCCTCAGCTGAAAAGATTTTGTCATTTCAGGAACTATGAATAAGGATTTGGAGCAAGACCTTTCAATGTATCATTTTGAAACAGAGATGATCTAGGCTTCATCTCTGAAGTGGTTAAAACATGACTTTGGAGATATTGACTTTGACCGCTTAATATGCTTTAAAACATTGTAGAATTGATATGTGTCTGAAAGTGATAATTTTAAATATGAATAGTCTAGCTTTATGTTTTCAAAACTGATATTAGAGATCATAGGATGTAATTTTTTTGTTCTTCATATCTACGGAGCAAAGGCAGTGAATATGCACATCTTACAGTATCTGGAAATGTAGACTAATGCTATTACTTAAAAGTTTTAGTTTGTAGAGCTAAACATTAATGTGAACATGTTAGACTTTCTGCGTAGAAGAGAATTTAAAAACCTGGTAGAAGTTACTGTTTCCTTCAGTATGTTCTCTTCTCCATTCTGCTCCTCAAGCTTGTCCTTCTTCCACATGTTTTCTCCTCTACTTTAAGCTTCCCAGCTTTCTAAGATGTTTAAAGGAACTAATTATTTTTACATTTTAAAAAAGTTTGGTATTCCATATCTCATCAAATACTGTAGGTTTCTGTAATTAAAAAAATAATAATAAAATTATTCCATCAAGTTTAAAATTTGATGTAGCTAAGTTGAACCTTTATGGTATAGTGTCATTTCTCACTACAAAATACAGTTACTTCATAGCTTTTTTAATAAAAAAATTACTCCACTGTCAGAATCAGTCATGCATGTCTTGCTTTAAAGTTTTCTTCTCTGTTGATGGATGTAACCTATATTTATATCAATATTTCAGTGGACTTCTAAGTTAAAATGACATCGCAGCTGTAAGACATCTAGCATTTTTTTTAAAAGTCACTTTTTTTGTGGCAAATTAATGAAGTAAGGATTATTGCAAATTACGGAATTGTTTCCAGATGGATTACGTAGCATAACATAGAGTTTGCATTAAGCTTTTTGGTTTCTGTCTACTATAGGAAAAAATGTATGCAACACACAGCATTAATGAGTGGCTGTGTTATTCCCTTCTTTTAGATTACTCCAGTTCCAGGCACTCATCCACTTTTAGTTTTTGTCAATCCTAAAAGTGGTGGGAAACAAGGAGAAAGGTAAGGTTTATTTTATCTTTATTCTTTTTTCTTTCCCCCCCTCTATTTCTCTGTTCTGATCTCTGTGATACATTTGAAAATAAATGTTAAAAGTTTGCATATGAAAAGAAAATTTTAAAAAGTATATTATTGTGCCTCACATTTGAACATTCTCTTGCCCTGTTTGGAAGTACACATTAGTATAAAACTAGAATTAGTTCTATGCAGCAGTTCCATTTCACATCAGAAAAAGTAGCTATATTCAGTGTATGGTTTTGTATGGTCTACATGAAGATGTGAGTTGCTATATTTTGTGTTGCAACTTTGAAGTTATAATAGTTTTCTTTTAATCTCTGTAATAATTATGCAGACAGGCCAATAATTTAAATTGGAAACAGTATTCCATTTTCTAACATGTTACTTGCCCTTTAAAGATATAGTGAGTACACTCTCGAGCGTCTCCGTAAGATTTCCTACAAAGATAGGAGATAGGAAGCATTTTAACAATCCAGTTAAAGTATTACAGTCCAATCACACAAATTTTAATGATATGCTTAATTTTATGTAAGTCAGTAATTACATTGATTTATATTAAAAATGCTTAAGTTTATGTTTACATGTTAGTGTATCAAAGGCATGATAAAACATAGGTAAGGAGCATTCTCCTTCTCCTCTACCCATCAAACTCAGGTAGAAATGCTGAATTAGTTAACTCCTGAGCAGTTTTTTCAGTGTATTTCAGAATCACAAGTGTTCACAATATGACCATTTTTGATCATCACATAAATCCCAAAATTTTTATGGGCTAGTGTACCATGTCAGTCCTGTAATCTAGCCTTCAAGTCTTGAAAAAAAATTAAGGTCTTTTGGCCAAGATCAGGCTGAAGGTGACTGACATGATCACTCAGATGATACTGAATGATGTGGGTACCTAAAAACTCATAAGGAGTGATGCATTGTGATTCTAATGCTTGGAACCAAGCAAGTAGACTGCAAGTGGGTCAGCTTTCCCTATCTCTTCCCCACTGCCTTCCTTAGATCACTTCTTTCAAACAGCGTCCCTTAAAGTAAACTAACAAAAGGGGCAAAATCCCATAGAGTAGATGTTAAATGAATTAATTCTCGGAACTGAAGAACATTTAACCAAAACTGCACTTGAAGACCTCTGAGAGAACAGGTTATCATTTAGGAGCTGATTATGTTATCCCTGGACTGGTGTACCTTGATAGCAGCAATGCCAACACCACTAGTTGTGTCAAAGGCAGGTAATGATGTAAAAGATTCATTCTGAGGAGTTTCAGGAACATGCCTTTGCAGTCACAACAAAACAATATGAGCTGTCCTGAACGTTCATGTGTCAGACACTGTTGTAGCGTGAGGTAGCCCTGGACTTGTCAAGGGCATTGTGGAAGATAATGCACTAGCACTCAGCTCGACTTTTTTTATAGTACCAATATGAAGTGAGTCAATCAGGGATCCAGTCTGGAATTAGGTAGGCGAGAGACAGGCTGGAGAGCAGCTCTTATGTAGTTAGTTATAACTTAGAAACAATTTAATGAAATCCTGTTTCACAGCTTTCAGTTCCCAGCACGTAATTGGTCTCAAGTGTTACTATCTGAATGGACTTAATGCATGAGGGACGTCATTTAATGTTAGATATTCTCCAGGGTGAAAGCAAGTTTAAAAACCTGACCCCCTTCCCAAGCTCCTGTTCCCATTCACGTATTGCAGTCTGGTAATTCTCACTTCATGTTAATGCAACTGTGGCTGAGGCCATGCAGATCACAGGAATTATTTGAATTGAAAAAATGAATGCCTTATACACACTTTATTCACTAACACCATTACCTCTAAGTGTCATTATACAATGAAGTGTGCAGCATTAGGGCAGCCACCAGTAGCTGAGGATAGTGAAGTATGAAACCTTCTAAAATTGGCTTAAATACCACTGAAAGTATAATGTTAAACTGCGTACTAATGTGTCAAGGTTGCACTCTTATTTCTGTGTTAGGACAAGAATTTCAAAAGGTCAGCTGCATAGTCATGTAAACATATCTCAAGTCATTCACCAGCAGGAGATAATATGTCATGGTTATATCTAAAATTAGATGCAAAAAAGTTTTAAAACCCACATTTGGACTATTTGATGAGAAGAGTTTTGCCCTCTGCCTTTTAGGTGTTAATGTCTCATACCAATACCAGTAACCTTATAAAATGAAGATGTTAAGAGTGCATATTAGTGTGAAGATTTAATCTAAGGGGGATGAAAACATTTTCAAGGAACAATTATACTTAACTTTTTTATTTGTCTTGTTTTTAATCTGGCTGTTTTACTGTCATTAACTGGAACGAGAAGAATCCCATTCCCCCTACACAATTTTATGGGCATTATATGTTGTAAAAAGTAAAATCACAGAACATTTGAAGACATAAGAAGGTCTGAAAAATTCAGTTACAGTGATTCAAGTCAGCGGTTTTGATTATAGCAATTTTGTAATCTAGTCAGGTATTTTGAGAGGCTAGGAGTAGAAGATAAACTGTAACAAAAGCAAGATTTCCACAGCAGTGAGGGGCAAACAAACCCAAAACCGCAACCTACTAATTTTTGTAGATGAGAATTTCATTATCTCGACTCATTCAGATTAAGATTGTCTTTTACTGAAAGCCATTCTTCAGTTTTAGGATTTTCTGTATTTGAGAGACCATGGTGAATGAAGTTGATTTCTAATTGACTTTCCTTGAGCACACAAAGGTTATTGCAGATACTGTCAAGACTCCAGTGTTCCCACAGTTCCCCGTATGAGATTTTATGCTTTGCCATATGGTAACCCAGCCCATTTAATTGCCCTTAATCTTGGAGAGAGTGTATGCATCCATCTGACAACCAGTTGAATAAATGCACTCCCTCAATAATGTTCTGTTGTTTCCCTTTGTATTTTGCATTTTTTTTTTTCAAATCTCTCGAGTGCAGAAGAAAAGAACTGAGGATCACTAAAGTAAAAAAAGTTAGATGCTTTAGCTTTGATTTTTGAATGTTGGAACAGAGGGGTAATGGGGAAACAAACGGATATGTAGAAAAGGTTCATTCAAAACCAAAAATACTTTCTCTACAAACATATCTAATTACAAATTAGATACATGTTTACATGTCAATTCTTTAGAAAGCCAGAGTTTTGCAGAATGTATAGTGATGAATATAATGTTCTTGAATAGATTTCTCTTTCAAAAACCAATTCTATGTAGTTCAGATATAACTGCAAAATAATAAATTGTGAAAATAATCCAGATCTACTTTCTTCTTAATTGTGAGATTAACAGTTATTGCACATCATCTGAAACATAAGTGCCTTTACAGTTATTTGGACCTAAATTATTTGCCCAATGGGTAATACATCTGTGTATAATAAAATAGAACAGAAATAGAATTAAATGTTTATTAAGAAGAAAGTAGCAAATTAGAATTAAACCTGATTAGTTTTGCACACCAAAAATAGGGTTTAATTAAGCTTGAGTTTGGGTAGGCACACAGCAAACACAATCAAGTGTCTTTGTCAGGATATATCACTGTAACATGGTTTTAGTAATTGTATGTAGAATGGACAGGTGTGGCTAGTCTCATCAGAAAAGAATTTCAGTGTGTCCATCTCATCCTAGAGTTAAATCCTGTAAGTCTGCATTTAAGATCTGACTAATTAAGACAGCAGCTTTCAATAATCTGTGAACAGAATGTATATGTTTAGTACATCATGAACAAAATAGTTTATTTCAGCAGAGAGAACTTAGAACAAGCAGGTAGTGCTTCTAAAGGGTAATGCTTCTCACACAAGAGTGCTTCTAAATCATGGTGTTGTTTTTCCATACTCATTCCTTTGTTTTCCACTTCCCCATTTTCCAATTTATTTGCCTGACCAGCAGGTGAGTTTATACAATTGTTTCCTTGACAAATGTGCGGTTGGATGCACTGGAGATCAGCTTCCGTACCCTGACATTTCCTGCTGACTCCACATTCAGTGTCTGTGCAGCACAGGTTGATGATATCTTTGACCTTTGTCGTTTTCAAATAACTTTGGTTCATAGTAGCTCTTCCCTTCCCTCTGTTTAATCTGGCTTTCTAAGCTTTCCTTTAGCATTGAGACAAAATGTAGGAGCAGTTTCAAAAGTTATCTGCTTCAGATTACCTTTTTCAAATGTTTAGGAAAGAAGATGGCTAGCATTCTTTTAATTTGGAGAGAGGTCATTGGCTTCTTCCTTATCTTCCATTATGGTTAAATTAAGCCTATACTGACCACTTAATGAATAGTCACCTCTAGTTTGCTAAAGATGCGTGCCCGGACTGGCAAAAGGCACTGCTGTGGCCTACTTTTACCCCAGTGTAGGCAACTTTTTTTGCCAGTTTTTTTTTTGTTTGTTTGTTTGTTTGTGTTTTTGGGTTTTTTTTCTCTCTCTCTTTAAAGGAATGATCTCATGACTCTAGAGGGTAGGTTAGTCTAACTCAGCTCAAGGTGCACTTGAGTATTTTTTTCAGCAGCAGAACTGCTTAACCGTGATCCCAGCCCTCTTGGCCACCCCTGCTGTAATTTTCTGTCTCCTCAGTTGTGCTATTTCAGCTGTTTTGAGGTTCATAAGAATAAGATCATGGACATGATTTAAGTGAAGATGAAAATGGCAACAGAGGAACTTTCCTATTTTAAATTGAATCTGTTTTGTTTTCTTGATATAACACTATATTCAGATATATTATTTACAAAATAATCCTACAAATAGTTACTGAGGCACAACTGTTCATTGATAACTATGTCATGGGGTAAGAACCAGCTGGAGGTGGTGGCAACAAGTGGTAGTTTCAAGAACTGACTTCATGCAATTGCAGTCCATCACAAAAAGCTGTCTTTTGGAGCATTACCCAACTATGCAGCCTCATGGCTTTGTCAGCATAAATCTCCAGTCACAAGGAGACAACGTCCAATACATTCCTTACATGCGAAAGCAAGATGTTCAGAGACATGTCAGAATTGGTAGGCTGTTTGGTGCTGTGTGTATACAAATGAAAGGCCAGGTTACTGTCCATTTTCTTGTCTTGCATGTGTCATGTTGTTAGGTGCAGCTTAGTGTGAAGGCAAGTGTTTAGGTGCAGTTTCTTCCTCTTTTTTTGGAAAATGTATGAATGGGAATGAAACAACAGTTATGAATTTTACACAGACTAGCATACATAAATATATGATAATAACTTAAAGTATATGTCATTTGCAGTGAGTCATTATAGAGTGATGATCTGATATTGATATTCGAGTAGTCCTTATGAATGGTATACATTGAATCAAGTATGAGTCAATGTAATCTTTTCATTATTGCAGATGGATTTCTGGGTTTTGGCTAGAGATGCCTAGCTCCGTCTTTATTAAGAAGGCTTTTGTAGCATTTCACAAATACCTGACAACAGTATTGTGAGTTTAGATGGTTAGTATGTTTGTAGAACCAAACTTCAGGGCAAATAACTCTTAAGCCTTTGGGACCTCATAACAATACCATTTGTGATCTTCTTATGGTCAGCTACACAAATTAAATTAGCCAGCACCTTTGACCAGGGTAAATCCTATACTTCACTGAGGAGCAATTCACACATACTAACCAGAAAATTGAAAGTAGGTTCCTTTTGCATTGATAAAATGCTGCAAACAAAATGGAAGTATACTGTGTTGTAAATCCACTGTAAAATGTCTGGCTTATTCATCATCACAGCCATTGACAATGGTATGTACAGGCTGGCAAAATGAAACCAGTCATTTCACATTGACTTCTCTCAGGAATGGCATCAGCAGTAGATTGTGTGAGTGTGCTTGAATACAATGCTTTATGAAGAAGCTGATGTCTTCAAATAATTGAGAAGTTAAGAAAATGTTCCAATATGCAATTTTAGAGATAATTATAAATTTGTTTGTATTCAGTATTCTTACACCATTGTCTTCCACCTAGCCTGATAAATTATGCATTGCTATTAAGAAAATAAAATAAGAGAAATCTTTCAATACTCACATATATTGTCTAGACAGTTTTATTTTGCTGAATTTGAAAACATGGACATTTTAACTTAAAATTCAGCTGTTATGCTTCTGTTTTATTTAAGGCACTAAAAAGAAAGGAAGAGATATTTC